ATGGCAGATCCCCTCCCTAGTCCTGGACAGCATTCCTCCCTTAATGCAGCCTGCTGTCCCAGTGGAAAAGTAATATCTCAAGATGACAGAAGGGACAGCCTGGAATAGCAGTTTCTCGGATACATACGCCAGAAGGTTGGTCTCTGTATAATCCATCCATCTATCTATCGATCGCCAAATGCGCTCCTTGGTCACACCTCTGGGAGCAAATACGAAACGGACTCTTTGGTGTTCAAAGCCCTTCACAGCCTACCCCTCCCTTGCAGTCTTCTTCCAACTTACTCCCCCCCATACTCTGCTCCCGTGACCCTGACCTCCTGGCCGCCCCATGAACAAGACCCTCCATCTCTCAGCCCCAGCCGTTCTCTCTGCCTGTCCCCCTATCCCTGGAGCATTCTCCCTCCGCATCTCTGCCTCTTTCAAGTCCCAGCTAAAATTCCACCTTCTACAGGAAACCTTTCTCCCTTCACTCCAGTACTTTCCCTCTGTTAATTATTTCCTATTTTTCCTGCATATAGCTTGCTTGGTATATATGTACTTGCGTGTTGTCTCCCCTATTAGACTGCAGGCTCCTTGTGGGCACTTAGCATAGTGCCTGGCACATAGTAGGAGCTTACTAAATGTTTCCCGATTGACATGCGTAAGGTGACGCCTATATAGCACTTTACACACAACTGTATGTGGTCCTCCCACCACACCAGTCAATCAGTCCATCCATATCTTGGATTGGTCAATCAATGCAAGTATCTTGGGATAGGGCTGGTGAAAGGACTGAAAGAGGCAGATAATCAAGTGTTCACACATCAGACTAAGTGCAGCTACACTGTTATCCCTTGACAAAGTTTGAAAAGGCATCTCTGATTGAATGGAAGTTGGCAAGAGGTGGCTGAAGATTGGCCGTGTGCCTGCTGGGGTTGCAACAGCTAAGCCTGTCAGCCCTGAAAGTAGCCAAGAGCAGACGTGGGAAGTGGGATCCCTGAGCCTTTACCAGACAGCATTTGGGGGTTGGAGGGAGGGAAGTGTTATCACCCTTGACCACGGCACCTTGCAGCAGAGCTGCTCAGCCAGTGTGACGTGCTCAGGGCACCCAGCAGGCAGCACAAACTGACAGAATTGGGAGAAGGACAACTTCAAGGAGCATGACTTCTGGCTGACTATGGCAGGGTTCAAGTCAAGACTAACCCTGGCAGTAGAAATCTGGGCTAAGGAAAGTAGCTGGTCCAGGGAGTCCAGCTGAACCGATCCATCCAGCAAAGATGCCATGTCCAGGGTAGAACAGCAAGTGTGTACCACGAGAAGGGGAGGAATGCTGGGGCCCGGTGCTATAGGAGGCATGAACTACCTTGACTATGCGTCCCCTATGAGCACCTCACTACCACAGTGAGCAAATGCCCACTCTTTCTAGAGATGTCGTATTTGGGGAGAGAGCTCCCAGGTTTATGGGGAGCAGTGTTTTACAGCTACTGCTCTTTCTAAGCTACATTAGATTTTACTTTGAGCTGTGTTTATTGTCTGACTATGAAAGGTAAACAAACTGGTGGGGGGTCCTGAGCTATGATTTTAGGGTGCAGACCCAGAGAGCACCTTTGAATCTGACACCATAGTCAACCTCTTCAGAACCCAATTCGTAAAACTGTGAATGCCAAATTGAGAAGTTAATTCCCAGAGGGGTGTATCTGGTTCCATGTTTTCCCTCCCCATGATGTCGTGATAACCTGTGGGAGAATGTGGCCCTTGTCCACTGATAAGATGTGGGTTCCAAATAGTGGGGAAAAAGAAGGAGGGAATATTTCTTGTCATTTATCATGCCATTGTATTACATTAAATGCCTTTTGTTTTGAACTAACAGGTCCTCTGGTTGGTCTAGTGAAAAATAAATACACGGAGGGTCTGGTTTTATGTTGAGCCAAGAAGAGCCTCAAATCTCGGGCCTTTCTGGGGGCCCATGGCGGGGGACAGGGGAGCCTAGGTGCTTCACTGATATGACTTAAGAGCTCACTAAGTGGGTTCCTCACAACAGTTCTGCATAGCAGATGGTGAAACTTATTAGCACCATATTACAGACCAATTCATTTATTTAACAGACTTTTTGTTAAGGTCAAATTACCACATAAACTACTTCACATCATTACGCTGAATGAAATGTTGGACATGGTTGCTAAACTACTGTCAGTGATATCAGAAAGTTCACAGAGGATGGGACGGGTGCCTCAAAACTGAAGAGCAAATATCTTATTAATTGGGGGGGGGGCAGGGAATGACATCTGCAAACCACAGGCTAGTAAGCTTGACTTAGATTCCTAGAAAAGATTTTGAGTGTATGAGGAAAGGAATAGTTAATGATTATGTGAAAAAAAAAAAGGCAGAGATCACAAAGCGCTAACAGTGTCATCAATAACAGGACACAGCTTCGAATATAAAGAAAAGTGGAAAAGTCATTTTTGGGGTAGAGGAACACTAAAAATCTAAGGAAGGGAACTCCGAAGGAAGCTAGGGATTCTGACTGGGCTGTGAAGTGGCCAAGTGGACAGAGCGCTGGGCTTGGAATCGGGAAGACTCATCTCATCTTCCTGAGACACAAGCTGTGTGACCCTGGGTAAGTCCTTTGCTTCAGTCTCCTCATCTGTAAAATGAGCTAGAGAAGAAAATGGCAAACTGCTCCAGTCTCTCTGCCAAGAAAACCCCAAGCGGGGTCATGGAGAGTCAGACACGACTGAAACGATCAATCAAACAAGAACAAGGAATTCTGAGGGGAAGATGTAAGAAGGGAGAAAAGTCCAGACTTGGAGGGTGGCTAGTGCAGCAGCATGGAGGGGTGAGGAGGCGTCATGGATGGGGAACACCATGAAGGCCAGGAGAGTATGGGAGGGGAAGCAACTGAAAATTATTCCCGAAAAATAGACTGGAACTATATTTCGAAGAATGTCAGAGAAGTTTATACTTTGTCTTGAGTCAGCCTCCTGAGCAGGAGAGTGACAGGGTCAAACCTGTGCTGACTTCATGTGCTTTTTTTTGAGAGGGTTCCAAGATTATTAGATGATGAGAATTCTACCTAGCTTTTAGTAAGGCACCTGACAAAGTCCCTCATATTATTCTTGTGGACAAAAAGGAGGGATGGGGCTCAGATATTTATACAATCAGGTGGATTTAAAATTGGTTAATTTGCCAGACCCAGAGTAGTCATCAATGATGTGATGTCAACTTGGAAGGTCTTTGGTGGAGTTCCTCAGGAAACTATGCTCCTTAACGTTTTTTTTTGAGGACATATCAATAGCATACAAACACACACACAGATACACACCCCAAGCTATATACAGGATAAATAGGAAATAATTAGCAGCAGGAAGGCACTGGAATTGAGGGGCTGGGGAAAGCTTCTCATAGAAGGTAGGATTTTAGTTGGAACTTCAAAGGAAGCCAGGGCAGTCAGTAATTGGAGTGGAGGAGGGAAAGTGGTCCAGGTATGAGAGACAGCTTAGAGCAGAGAGACAGATGGTCTTGTTCACGAATAGCCAGGAGGCCAGGGTCATGGTATTGAAGAGTAGGTGTTGGGCAGTAAGATGTAAGAAGACTGGAAAGGTAGGAGGAGACTAGGTTATAAAGAGTTTTGAATGGCAAACAGAGCATTTTGTATTTGGCCCTGGAGGTAATATGGAGTCACTGGAGTTTATGGGGTGACATGGTCAGATCTGTGTTTTATACTTTAATGGCTGAATGGAGACTAGACTGCAGTGGGGACAGACTTGAGTCAGGCAGACCCACAAGCAACCTATTGCAGTAACTGAGGCATGAGTTGATAAGGGCCTGCACTAAAGTGGTGGAAGTGCCTGGAGAGATGGGGACATATTCAAGAAATGTTACAAAGATGAAATCAGCAGGCCTTGGCAATAGCTTGGAAATGTGGGGTGAGAGGTAGTGAGAAGTCCAGGATGACTCTTAGGTTTCTAACCTGAGGGACTGGGATGATGGTGTTACCCTTTATCGTAATAGGGAAGGTGGAGGTCAGGGGGATTTAGGAAGAAAGATAATGAGTTCTGTTTTGGACAGACTTAGTTTCAGATGTCTACTGGATATTTATGGAGATATCTGAAAGGCAGTTGGAGATGTGAGATTGGAGGGCAACAGAGAGATTAGGAGAGTTAAGGTAGATTTGAGAATCATCAATGTGAAGGTGGTAATTAAATACATGGGAGCTGAGGAGATCAAGTAAATAGGTACAGAAGAAGAGAAGAAGGCCCAGGACAGAACCCCGAGTTACACCTATGGTTAGAGGGGCATGATCTAGAAGAGGATCCAGCAAAGAAGACTAAGGAGGAATGGTCGGATAGGTAGGAGAAAGACCAGAAGAGAGTGGTGTCCCAAAAACCTAGAGAGAAGAGAGTGTCAGGGAGGAGAGTGATCCATAGAGGCTGCAGAGAGGTCAAAGACGATAAGGATGGAAAAAAGGCCAGAATAAAGAGATCACTGATAACTTTGGAGAGGGCAGTTTCAGTGGACTGATGAGGTCAGAAGCCAGATTGTAAAGAGTCAAGAAAAGACTGAGAGGAGAGAAAGTGGAGGTACCTACTGAGGTTTAGCTACAAAGGGCAGAAGAATAATAAGATGATACTTAGGGACAGCAGAATCAAGAGAGAATGGAGGAGAGATATGGGCATGTTTATAGGTAGCAGAAAATGAGCCAACAGATGTGCAAGTGAATTGGATTTTAGTGAGGGAGGGCTATGCAAAGTCACCAGCCTCACCTTCTCCTCCAGGGCCATCTGGGTCCAGTGACAAGTTCTAGATCAGGATGTTGGGCCACAGATTCTCTTGCAGGGATGCTACTGCTCCTCCTCTCCCCTGACTGGTCTCTGTCTCCACCCTTCCTCCCTGCCCTGCCCCCTAGTTACCTCCCCTCTCTTCTAGAGCTCCACCCCTCCCCTCTCCTTCCCAGGCCACGCCCCCTCGTGCCCATCTTCACGCCTCACCAAACCCCGCCCCTTTCCTTGGAGGAGGTGCGGCACTCGCGCAACGCCTTTCAACTTCCCTGGGAGCCACGGCAGAAGACTCTCGCGAGACTTGAGGGTTTGTTTGTTTGTTTGTTTTTTCTCCACCCCCACCCCCCAGGGGTGGTTGGCAACTGCGGGGAGTGGGCGGGCAGAAAAGAAGGCAGTAAAAAGGGTGTAGGCGCAGCCCAAAAGCCAAAAGCTCGTAGGGGCAGAACGAAACCGTCCACCGTGAGCCCCGCCTCTCTCGACCGCCCTCCCGCGTGACCCAGCTTTTACATAACCGCGGTTTCGTTGCGTCACCTACGGCGTCTGTCCGGTCGGCCCAATCGGAACGTCCCAAGCCGCCGGACTCCGCCTCTCCTATTGGGATGGACGTCGGGTCCGGCCAATGAGCGGGCGGGAAACGTCACCGCGCCCGCCCCGCCCCTCCCCGCTGGTGCCGCCGCCGCCTGCGGTGGCTACAGGTTGAGGCTGAATCTGTCAGGGGGGAAGCGAAGCCCGAGGCGAGGCGAGCTCGGAGCGCGGCCAGAGGCTGAGGCCCGGAGCGGGACATGGCGGCGCTCTACGCCTGCACCAAATGCCACCAGCGCTTCCCCTTCGAGGCGCTGTCCCAGGGGCAGCAGCTGTGCAAGGTGAGCGGCGGCGGGCGGCGGGCGGCGGGACGTCCGGGGCGGGGCTGGGCGGCCTCGAGGGGGCGGTGGCCGTTGGCCGCCCGCGCAGCGGGTGGCGACGGGGGTAGGTGGTTCCGCCAGTTCGCGCCTGGCGCGGGGGGGCGGGGGGAGTGAGGAGAGGGGGCGAAAACAAAGAGTGCGGACACCCCGGCCTGGCTTCCGCCCGGCCCCGCCCCGGCGGGGCTTCCCGGAGGCCCCCAAAGGCCCGCCCGCCCCCGGCTTCCTCCGGTGCTTAGCAACGGCCCGGGGCTGGTTCCACGGCCCGGCCTGGGGGGAGCAGGGCACCCGCCCACCGCGATATCTTCGCGGGGGGCCCGCTGCTGGCGTCCGGGGATCGTCTGCTTGGATAGAGCTGGAAGGGTTGGAGACCAGCTCCCTCATTGTGCCCCTGGAGAAACTGAGGCCCAGAGAGGTGGAGGGACTTGTCAGGGCTTCCCCAGCTAGCAAATGACAGGACGCGAGCCCAGGTCTTCCTGACTGCAAGTTCAGCGCGCTCGTCTCTGGCCCCGCTGCCTCCTAAGGGAGGGGCAGGAATCGCCCCTTTTCCGAGGTGGTCTTCTGGGAGGAGCTGATGATGCCCAAGGAGAGCTTCAGTGAGGGACGTACTGGGAATCAGGAAGATCCTTCCAAGCTGCGTGACCCCGAGCCTCTGTTCTCTTTTTTATAATTCAGGAAATAAAAATAGCTTCTGCCTCACTTCAGCAGGTGAATAAAGTGCTTTGTAAACGTTAAAGCACTTCTGCCGATATCAGCTGTTTATCATTATTGATGCTGTTATTAATGGGAATTCAAAGAAGCATCGCTTGCCAGAGGCAACATTGAATAGGGTTTTGGCCGAAAAGCAAGACAAGTGGAAGAAGTCAAAAGATTTTCAGCCTCAAAATTAGCATTCTGTCGCATTTCCCTGCTGCTTTCTGGCATAAGTGGTGTAGTGGGAAAAGCGTTGGATTTGGGAGCAGAGGAATTAGATTTGAATCTGACCTTTACTACTTGAATATTTTGGTGAGTTTGGCAAATTATCAACCCCTTAGGGCCTCACTTTCCTCAGTTAAGGGGTCTGGCCTGGCCTAAATAATCTGTAAGGTCCCTTCCAGCTCTAAATCCTGTAGTGCTTGGTCAATTACTTCATCTCTCTGAGTCTTAATTTCCACATCTCTAAGATGAGGAGATCAAAAAAGATCGTATCTAAGGTTCCTTGCCCTTCTAACTTGCTAATCCTCTGACTGACCAGTTGCTGGTAATTTTCTTAGACTTGCATTACTTTTATATCAAGATTTCCCACCGGGGCAGCTAGGTGGCAGCAGTGGATAGAGCACCGGCCCTGGATGCAGGAGGACCTGAGTTCAAATCCAGCCTCAGACACGTAACACTTACTAGATGTGTGACCCTGGGCAAGTCACTTAACCCCATTGCCTAGCTTAAATAAAAAAAAATTTTTTTAAGGGAAAAAAAAAGATTTCTCATCGATTTCCCATTGTCTCCAGTTTTCAGGTGAATTGAGCATAGAGAAGGGACATCATATTAGTAAGTCACCTAGCCAAGCAGGTATCTTGGTGACTATTTCTGGAGTGTGACACATAAATATTCTAAAGTAAACAATAATCTATCTTTCCTATTTTGGCAGTAAGTTTTTTACATATTACTGCTGAGAGTGAGGCATCTTCCTTCTGCCAGTGTTTATTAGCTATCTGGAGAACTTTGATAATTGAGTGTCTTTTGTGGTCTCATCTCTTTGGGTTCCAAGAAATAGGTATATGTATTCATTTTGGATTATTAGCCCTAGAGATTTCCTAGTCCAGCCCTCTCACTTTACAGATGATCTGACCATGTCACCCCCAACCCCAAGATCCTCCAGAATCAATTATAAAACCCTCTGCCATTTAAAACCCTTCATAACCTGGTTCCTTCCTACCTTTATAGTCTTTTTACACTTCTCCCTTCCGCATACTCTTCTATCCAGTTACGTTGGCTTACTTGCTGTTCCTTAGAGACAACACTAAATTTTCCTCATTCTAGGCCCCCCTGGGAATGTCCCTCATTCCCTTCTCCATTCCTTCAAGGCTGAGCTCAAACTCCACTTTCTTCGGGATGCCTTTCCTGGTTTCCCTTCTGAGATGGCTTTCGATTTACCCTGTATATATCTAATATGTGCATAGTCATTTGCATGATTTCTCTCCTCTAGACTGTGAGCTCCTTGAGAACAGGAACCTTGTTTTTGCCTTTCCTTACCACGTGCCTGGCACATAGTAAATGCTTAACAAATGCTTGTTTACTGAGAAACTGATCCCACAGAGGTGAGGAACTAGCCCAAGTATATGTGTGTGGCAAGTAGCAGAGCCATTATTTAAACCTAGGTTCCCTGGTTCCAAATCCTGTGCTCTTTCCTCTCTATCTGGTATGGTCTCTCAGGAATGGAAAGAGATCTCAACTCATCCTCCTCATTTTGCAGGTGATAAGACTGAGGTAAAAGTAAATGACTTGCTGAAGTTACACAGATAATTTCTAGTGTTCTTTCCAGCATGCAGTGTGGTCTCCGTTTGTGGTTTTTGTTAATAAATGTTTTTTAACACCCAACTTTAACAATTATATTTCGTTACAGGAATGTCGTATTGCCCATCCTATGGTTAAATGCACCTACTGTCGGACTGAATTCCAGCAGGAAAGGTAAAAAGTCTCCATTGATAGTGGTTTTTTTCTTATCTTTCTTAGAAACATATTTCCTTCTAGAAGAAGCCATTGTACTCTTAAAATGCTTAATTTCTTACTCATGCTGCTTATTTTTTAGTCCCTGGCAATTTCATTATTGTAACTTATCTTTTTAAAAATACTGTTCTCTTGAGCCCTTTCTCCCTATCTTTGCATTACAAAGAGGAAATGAGGTACTTTGGGAAACCTGGCAGTCTTGTTCTAAGTTCCAATTACTATCTCTGACCACGTGTGAAACTTATATTCCTACTTCACTTATGTCACCTCGTTAAGAAATTAATATTACCTGAAAGCTTTCTAGAATCAACAAAGAGCCTGTCAGTATGAGCACCCCTCTGGGCCTTCCCTTGCAGATCAGCCTTCTCTGTGAGGCCAGTTGACTAAGTCATGTAGAACCCCAGCATTCAACCTTCGGGTCAGGGTTCTTGTCACACTTGACAAAGGTTCCTTTTTTCTTTCTTGTTTTCTAAGTGTAAGCATGTGCAAACTTATAATTTTGAATATAATGACAGTAAAGAGTTTTTGGTGATAGGCTTATGTGTAATTGAAAAGCTGTTTGAATGAACACATTCACATCTGCCAGCAAGAGCTCTCTCTTATACTAGGGTACCTCAAGAGTTGGGCCTAAAGTTGTGCCTCCAGCACTTACTAAATGTGTGACCTTGCCTGTCTCTTCAGTTCTCTGAGCTTGTTTCCTTATCTGTAAAATAAGGATGATCAAATATTTCCACTACCTATGTGGTACAGGTATTGTTAGCAAAACTCCTTATAAACCTCAAAGCAACATACAAATGAGGAGCTATTGGCAATACCTCCTCAAAGGTCCTCATTTGAATTATTATAGGTTAACTGATACTTCAGAAATAGAAGACAATTGCTCTGGAAAATATTTTAGACGAGTAATTTTTTCAATCTTGTTTAGGTTTCCTTTCTTTTCTTTCTTTCAAAGGATTACTTTAAAGCTGTGTGGTATTTCTCTTTTACAGTTAGCCCGGGAAGATATATAGTCATAACATTTTACAATATATTGGGGTGTTAATATTTTTATATTCTCTTAGAGCCATGGGATTGTTCTAAATATTGTTTCCAGCTGAATGCGACATTAGGCAGAAACTTCGCTGAAGTCAATGGGCCTAGGAGGGGAATCTGATCATTTTTGCAAACCTGGATCATTAGCTCATAGGCACATTTGGTTTGTATTATGGCCCTTAGAATTTCAAAAAGGAAATGAGGGAACGCTTACTTTTTTCATGAGCTTGGACTTTATGGAAAATGAACTATTGCACAAGCTGTAGACAGATATTAAAATCACAGCTTCAACAATTTTCTTCCACATTTGTGATTTTCTTATGCCTTTGCTTATGAAGGAAAATATGAAATAGTAGTTGATTGAGTAAAGCCTTCTAAATTTGTCCTGCATACTTCTCCTAATGTATCTTAATTTCAAACCTCAAAATTCTTTGTTGCTTATTGAGGATTTCTTTTCCTACCAATAATTCCAGTTCTGATTTCATATTTTTTGCTGACCCAGTCTATAACAGAAGTTACCAGTTATACTGGTTGGTGGTATTGGGAATACTAGCAACTACTAAATAATTTAGTCCTCCATATCTGCCAGATTCTTGATTGACATCCTTCTCCCTCCCAAAATAAAATTGCTCCCGGTTGCCAGAAATGAAAGGATAGCCTCTACCTGAAGTAATTTTATTAAATGATTTTTTTCACAGCCCTGTATTCCGTAAGTAGTGGAGTATTAACGGAGTTACTGACCACACAGTAATATTTCAGTTGACATGAATATTATCACTAAAATGCTCTTTGAAAGCCAGTTTCCTATTCTTTAGGGATCGATCGTTTATGAAGACCTTTATGTGTTTTTCCCTTAACAGTAAGACCAATACGATATGCAAGAAATGTGCTCAGAATGTAAAGTTGTACGGAACAGTAAGTAGACTTCCCTCAAGAGTTACTTTTTTAAAAATGCTTTAGTGATATGTTTTGTTTTTACATTGCCTTTATTTCCAAATAGATCCTTTCCCTAGGAGGGCCATTGCTTGTAATGAGGGGGCGGAGGTCAGTCCCGCCAGGCTGGCTGGCTTGTCACCCTCTTTGGCCGGGGCCTGCAGTGTTCCCCTGACCACGTCAGTGACCTCTGCCAAGGAAGGAGGAGGCACATTTCCTCAGCTCTTCTGCAGGGCTGTGTGTGCTCATTGTACAGCGTTTGCTTGGTTTCTGTTGTTGTCGTCATTGTTCCTTCCGCTTTTATTGTTAGTCATTGTGTACGGTATCTGTTCTTCCTGGCTTTGCTTGGCCTCATTTTGCCTGAGTTCTTAGAAGTCTTCCCATGCTTCTCTGTAGTCATCTGTTAGCTCCTTTAAAACTTGCCTGCCACAAACCTTAAGCCTGTCCAGAGCAGCTTATTTAATCTCATGAATGGTCATTTTAGTTCAATTTTCAACTAAACACATAGAATTTTTGAGCACCACAAAGCAAAAGGTGTTTTTTTCAGAAATTTGAAAGAATTTATTGCTTTCTACAGAGGACTGGTTCTGTTGATTTCTTTGAAGTACATTGCACCGAAAAGTGGACGTATTTTTCCTATTGAGCAGATATCTTATTAAGTGCTTATTACATGCAAAGACACTGGTGTTGGTAATATAAAGATGAAAAATCATAGTCTGTGCTCTTCAGACACTTATGATATAGTGGGGAAGTGAGACACTAAGATGAACATTAGAAAATGATGACATACATAGGACAGGTCAGAGTAGCCTGAGAAATTCAAGAAACTGAGGGATCACTTGGAAATAAAGGATCAGGCTGTGGAAGAGGTGATAACTGCACAGGGCCTTGAAAGGAGAGAATGACTTCATTAGGTGGAGAATGGGCTACCATTGGTCAGAGCATACATACACAATGCTGTCACAGTGGGAGAGGGCAGGACAAGCTCAAAAGTCCACCATTCCTGTGTAAAAAGCAACGCACTTTTATTGTTGTGTAGCTGTTGTACTAAGCTTTTATCTAACCCTTCTCTCTTCTTTTTAAGCCCAAGCCTTGTCAGTATTGCAACATTATTGCAGCATTTATTGGCAATAAATGTCAGCGCTGTACAAACTCAGAGAAGAAGTATGGACCACCATACTCTTGTGAACAGTGCAAACAACAGTGTGCCTTTGACAGGAAAGATGACAGGAAGAAGGTGAGTCTTTTTTTTTCCCCACATGCTTTTGTTAAAGAAAACAAATCAGGAATAATTATTATTATTCAGAATTATTAAGTTTTACAGGATCTATTATTTAACATTTTTGCCAGCTTCTTGTGACCAAGTTAAATTTGATGACCTGGTTTTTTTTCAAATTCACACATAGGATCATCTACCCAGTTAGTATTGTCTTGATGGGTAATTGGATATTTACTAGGTATTACTTTAATGGAGAGTAGGCCCTCTTTTTAAATGAGTTAGAAGGGAAGATCCATTTTTTTTTAAACATTTCATTCTTTCAGTGGATTTTGGACTTTAAATTCCATGAATGCAGAAATTTCTATCAGGACAGAATTAAATGTCTTATTTGTTCTTTGTTCTCCACTAATCCTATAGTAGAGCCTACTCTGCTGCCTCATGAGAACGTGGATGTGACTGTGAATTCTCGAAGGCTACTCCAGGGTACATCAGTACAAGTTCTGGCAAGGCCTGCTAAGCGGGGAAGTCTCAGAGGGAGGGGCTAGGACTGGACTCTTGTCTATCATCCAGGGTTCAGCTTCATGAAATATAGGGAAACTCATCACTGTTGGCCACAGGGCAATGAGTGTTTTTGGTTACAGCAGCTGACAAAGGTGTAGGTAGACGGAGTGGTCACACCAATAAAAGCATGCATCCTTGAAGTATTGCACTTTAATAATTCTCTCCTCTACCTTTCCCACTAGTGTTTAACATTGTGCCCTGGATTTAAAGTACTTTTTATTAACATCTTTTTTTTTTTTTACATCTTCATTTCCAAATATGTATCTTTCTGTCCCCTACCCCCAGAGGAATCTCTTGTAACAAAGATTAGAAAAGAAAGAGGAAACAGGCAGTTCAAAATCAATTAACACATCAGCTATATCTGACCATTCATGAAATAGTCCACGTGCACAGTTTTTTCCATCTGTGCACAGAATGGAGGGAAGCACATATTCTCTACTCTTCTGATGGCCAAGCTTGGTCATTATAGTTATAGTGTTCAGTTTCTTCTTTCCATTTCCATTGTCATTGTGTATATTGTTTTTCTGGAGCTGCTTACTTTCCTCTGAATCAGTTCACTATGTATTTATTGAATTACATTGTGCTACTAGGTTAAGTTTCCCAGAGAAAGCCTTACCTTTTTTAATCACACCTTTGGGCTAACATTTTGAGAAATCAGATCATTTCTCCTTTGCATAAAGTAAAAAATAAAATAGGCGTGCTGAATGGACTGACAGGATAATAACAATGATAGCTTAAAATACCAGCTAAATATTAGCTGTTATTATTTTTATATATAATTTCACTGTGTACAAAGCCTTTTCACCTTTATTATCTCATTTGGTTCTCATAAGCCTGTGAGGTAGGCAGATGGTTTTCCCACTTTATAGAAGGGAATACTGAGATGAGAAAAGGTAAAGTGACTCACCTACAGTGATGTATCTAGTAAGTGGCAGAATGCAAGATTTGAACACCTAGCATCATGACTTCTATCCTGGGCTCTTTCCATTGGGTCACATAGGTTTTTTGATAAAGCATAAGAAAAGTCCTTAATGAGATCTAGGCTAGATATAGAATGAAAAATCTCCATCAGAACTGATCTTGGGTTTCCATTTTGGCACAAGCCTAACTGAATGTGTTTCCTATACTTGTGCTGCATTTATGGGTTCATATTTTTAAGGCTTTGTTGAACATTATTTATTTGGTGCTGTTCTCAAGGTAAAACATTGCTTATGATCATGCCTCCTTTTCCTCTCATGTAGGGAGGAAAAGAATTAGCTATCTTAATGTGGGATGATTCCTCTCTGTTATACTTTACTCAGGATATTTTTCATTTTGTAAATTTACCCAGTTTACCACTGTGACACATCAGAGATATTGAAAGAGCTATATAGACTGTATTTCACCCCTTCATCTTTTCCTCTCCCCACTCCCTTTCCTAACTTCCTTCCCAGCTTCAAAGAGACATTTTTGTCACAGAATCTCACAGAATTTGGAAGGGACCCCAGGACCCATCCAGTCCAGGGTTCTTGCCCTGTTAAGGGTCACTGAACCTTTTTGGCAGCCTGATGAAATCTATAGACCCCTTCTCAGAATGATGGTTTTTTAAATGCATAAGATAAGATACAAATGATTTTAAAGGAAACCAAAGATTAGTGAAAATAAAGATACAATTTTTTTCCTTCCAAGTTTATGGACCCTCCTTGAAATCCATCCATGGCCCTTCTGATCTAGTCTAAGTTGTAGTTGATAAAGAATCCCTCTACGTGATATTTAACAATTGATCATGCAGCCTTGGTTAGAAGACCCTTGTGGCAGGAAATTCATTCCCTGTGAAGGCCACTCATTCCATATCTGTGTAGCTCAGAATATTAAGAAGCTTTTCCTTAAATCAAGAGGAGTTTGCCTCTTCACAGCTTAGACCTATTGCGCCTTGTTCCATTTGCCTTTCAAGGCTAAGCAGAATCACACGTGTCCTGTTTCTCCTTGATAACCCCTCTGATTTGAAGGTGATGGTTACTGCAGTCGTGCTCTTCTCTGCTCCCCAGCCCCTACACCCCAGATTCTTCTCTTTTGGAAAATTTCAGCACCAGCCTGTGTTTTCTGAGTTGGGGAGAAAGAGAGTTATAAGCATCTCCATTTTAACTTGTTTTGGTCTTTGAGGTGGATGGGAAGTTGCTGTGTTGGCTGTGTACGTTATCGTACAAACGCGTCCTCCAGAAAACCAGAGAGCAGCGGAAGCACCTGAGCAGCTCGTCCCGAGCAGGCCACCAAGAGAAGGAGCAGTACAGCCGGCTGAGCGCCGGGAGCCATTTTAACAGGTGAGGCAGAGAGCCACTGCCACCGCCACTGCCAGCTTTCTGGCTGAAAAACCAGACTGAGAGATGCTCGCTGCCTGAGGTGGAGGGCTGCTGTTTTGCATCATTCTTTGTATTTTTTACCTTGGTAGTTTTCTTACAGAAGAAGCTCGTTTATAAGACTACCTAATGCAATCAATAGATTTCAGAGGAACAACAGTACATTCAACAAGATATCAGGTTTTAGTGGTGTGGTTTGAATGCTCCTTTAAGGAAATTTTTATAAAGTTTACATGACTATCACACGTAATATTTTTAAGTCCCCTGTAATGAATAGAGTTGTAGCCAAAATTAACTAGTCTTTATGGGGGAAGCTTTGTTATTTTTATTTTGTCTTTTGAGGGAATAAGTTTTGTTTTACTCTTCATTTAAGCAAATGTCTGAACCACATTCCAGACCTTTTCACTTGGAGGACCAAACAGAAGAGGTCCTGTTGTGACTGTGATCACAGACTCCTTTTAAAAATATCCAGCACTGGAGCAGCTAGGTGGCACAGTGGAAAGAGCACCAGCCCTGAAGTCAGCAGGACCTGAGTTCAAATCTGGCCTCAGACCAAACACTTGCCACTAGCTGTGTGACCCTGGGCAAGTCACTTAACCCTAATTGCCTAAAAATTTAAAAAATAAATAAATAAAATGTCCAGCACATTATGGGAAATGCTATTTAAAGTTACTGTAAACATAAAATATTTAGGAGTCTGCCTACCTAAACAAGCCCAGGAATTATATGAACACAATTACAAAACACTTTTCACACAAATAAAGTCAGATCTAAATAATTGGAAAAAACATCAGTTGCTCATGGGTCGGCTGAGCTAATATAATAAAAATGACAATTCTACCTAAGCTAATTTACTTACTCAGTGCCATACCAATCAAACTACAAAAAAATTATTTTATAGAACTAGAAAAAATAACAACAAGATTCGTCTGGAAGAACAAAAGGTCCAAAATATCAAGGGAACTAATGAAGATATGCAGGGGAAGGTGGCCTAGCCATTCCAGATCTTAAATTGTATTATAAAGCAGCAGTCATCAAAATTACTTGGTACTGGCTAAGAAACAGAGTAGTGTATCAGTGGAATAGGTTAAATATGCAAGACACAGTAGTCAATGACTATACTGATCTACTATGTGATAAACCCAAAGACCCCAGCTTCTGGGATAAGAACTCACTATTTGACAAAAACGCCAGGGAAAACTGGAAAAGAGTATGGCAGAAACTAGGCATAGACCAGAATCTCACACCATACACCAAAATAAAGTCAATATGGGTTCACGGGAAGCAGCTAGATGGCACAGTGGATAGAGCACCGGTCTTGGATTCAGGAGGACCTGAGTTCAAATCCAGCCTCAGACACAACACTTACTAGCTGTGTGACCTTGGGTAAGTCACTCAATCCCATTGCCTAGCCAAAAAAAGAAAAAAATGGGTTCATGATTTAGATATAAAGGCTGATACTATAAGCAGATTGGGAGAGCAAGGAATAGTTTACCTGTCAGATTTATGGGGAACAGGAGAATTTATGATCAAACAGGAGATAGAGAACATTATGAAGTGCAAAGTGGATAATTTTGGTTACATCAAATTGAAAAGTTTTTGCAGAAACAAAGCCACTGCCACCAAGATGAGGAGGGAAGCAGAGAGCTGGGAAACAATTTTTACAACCAGGGTCTCTGATAAGGGCCTCATTTCTAAAATATAGAGAGAACTCAGTCAAACTTATAAGAATACAAGTCATTCCCCACTTGATAAATGGTCAAAGGATATGAACAGGCAGTTCTCAGATGAAGAAATTAAAGCCATCTATAGTCATATGAAAAAATGCTCTAAAACATTATTGATTAGAGAAATGCAAATCAAAACAACTCTGAGGTACCACATCACACCTATCAGATTGACCAACGTGACAAAACAGGAAAATGGTAAATGTTGGAGAAGATGTGGGAAAATTGGAACACTAGTGCGTTGTTGGTGGAGTTGTGAAATGATCTCTTTTGGAGAGCAATTTGGAACTATGCCCAAAGGGCTATAAAAATGTGCTTACCCTTTCATCCAGTAATAGCAGTTCTAGGGCTGTATCCCAAAGAGATCATACAAATGGGAAAAGGACCCACATGTACAAAAATATTTATAGCATCTCTTTTTGTGGTGGCAAAGAATTGCAAATTGAGAGGATGCCCATCAATTGGGGGATGGCTGAACAAGTTGTGGTATATGAATGTAATAGAATACTATTGTGCCATAAGAAATGATGAGTGGACAGACCTCAAAAAAACCTGGAAAGACTGAGTAAAGCGAACAGAACCAGGAAAACATTGTAACACAGTAACAGCCACAATGTTCAATGACTAATATTGATAGACTTAGCCCTTCTCAGTAATGCAAACGCTCTCCACATCCAAAGAAAGAACTATGGAGTTTGAGTGCAGATCAAAGCATACTATTTGCTAACTTTTTTCTTCTGTTTTGTTTCCTCTTTCTTGTGGTTCCTCCTATTGGTTCTAATTCTTCTTTACAACATGACTAATGTAAAAATATGTTTAATAGGAATGTATATGTATAGCCTCTCACATTGTGCACCCTCTTGGGGAGGGGGTGGGGAAAAATTTAAAACTCAAAAGCTTATGGAAGTGATTGTTAATAAATCAAAATAAATTAATAAAAAATTTAAAACCAGAGATAGGTTTGAGCTGTATTTCAGCTTTTGATGATTTCAGAAACAGAATAAGGGTGACCCTCATAGGTCTCTAGAGCAGCAGCGTTTTTTTAAATTAATTAATTTATTTTTAGTTTTCAACATTCACTTCCATAGCGCAGCAGTTTTGACACTGCGATGGGCCTCTGTACCTAGCAGATTAAGTAAGATCAAGTCTTTATTGACATGAGTTTCGTGGCCACTAATGCAAGCTAGAAACTTAATGTTGAGGTTGTTTGTGAGGGGCAGCATGATGTGGTGTACAAAATGCTGGCTTTGAAGACTGAAGAACCCAGTCTGGGTTCTGGCTCTGCTGTTTTATTGGCCGGGATGACTTTGGCCAAGTCACTTGACCCTTCTTGGTGTTTTTCTTCATCTGCAAAATGGGAATAACAACACCTATGCTACCTACTTCCCTGGTCATTTTAGGGAAAGTGCCTTGTTAGAACTAAAGTAGGAATGTCGGTTATTGTTATTTTAAATTGTAAAGAACTGTGTCAATGTAAGCTGCTGTTTTAGCTGCTCAGCCACTTACAAACCAAGATCTGCAATTGAAAAGCAGTTTGTTAGTTTTTGTTTTCTGTTTTTTGGTTGGGCTGTGAGGGTTAAGTGACTTGCCCAGGGTCACACAGCTCATAAGTGTTACGTGTCTGAGACCAGATTTGAACTCAGGTCCTTCTGAATCCAGGTCTGGTGCCCTAGCCACCCAGAAAAGCAATTTGTTTGCATGATTCACTTAAATAATATGAAAAGGAGTTCACACATTACATAACTATAACCTGGGCCTTTTGTGGTAGTTACATTGGGAAATGAAACTTCAGCATTTTGTTTATCTGTTTCTAATGTATTCCCCTTTTTGTTGTTTAAAAGCCAAAAAACACTGTCTACATCTTCAATTCAGAATGAAATTCCAAAGAAGAAACCTAAGTTTGATGCTATCACAGCTAATGGAGACAGGTGAGCTAGCTGTGTGTGTGTGTGTGTGTGTGTGTGTGTGTGTGTGTGTGTGTGTGTTATGCACGTGCAGTTTCTATAAGAGGGGCACGTTTCGGAATGTTTTGCTGCTAGTCACAAGTGCTTGTATCCCTGCCTTCGTTTGTTGATATTGGTTTGTATGGTTCTGTTCTCCTCAGTGAATTTATAGCAATTTGAATGATCCTGTAGTCCTTCAATCCCTAGGCCATCAGGCATAGCCTTTCGCGGTAGCAGGAGTAGTTCTAGGTTGGGAACAACTGTGGGCCACCTTGTCCTTGTGGACTATACTGGGAGCAGCCCTTAGTGTATGAGTCTTGTTAGTCTGATAGGCAGAGCAGGCAAGTTAGAGTGAAAACAGATTGGAAGTATGAAGGCTGGTTCAGGTCATGTCATCTTCCTTCTGTTCAGAAAGAAAAGGTGAGGCCTTTCTGTGACCAATTCAGAAGCTGTATAAGGAAAGCATGAGATAGAAATCGATATATAGATGTGTATTTGATTTTAAACTTGTATAAATGCATATTTTTATTCCTCGCTTTCCTCTCTCCTTCTCAGCGTTCCTTCCTCTTACGAGCTGCTTTGTCCTAATATCCAGAGTGCCCCGTCCGTGTTGGTGCAGTGGGCTGCTTCCCAACAGAGTCTTGGTGCCAACCATTATCCTGTTCCTCCAGGCACTGGCATCCTGAAGTGAGATCACCTGACATGCTCTTCCCCTAAATCCTTGGAATTATCTCCGTTCTGGAAAGTGTCCCCCTGAAGGATCTCCCTCCAGAGTAGACTGAAATCGGGAGCAGATCATCGTGCAGGCTCTCCAGGGCTGGCTTTCATTGATTTTAGTGGAATAGAAGGTCTTTTAAATTCACTTATCACTCATTAAGCCATCATTTCAGCTTATTTCAGATCCCTCACAGCTGCTCTTCTGATAGCTGGTCCTTTGGTTCTGGACTTCTTGAATCTGCTTTTTGAAAAAGTCTAATTTAAATATGCAAATTAAGTGGGGGAATGAGCTGTAAGGAATTTCTTCTTTCTAGTCAGATTCAGTGTTCCGGAGAAGCCCCAAACACCCCAGGGCTAGTGGAGTTGATTGTAGTCACCTCCAGCCTGTCTGGTCTGGCCTGCAAGGAAGCATCGGAGCGTCGGTGGCAGCAGCCGGATTTAAACTGAAGGCTGCTAAAACCAGGCAGTGAGGCCAACACTAGGGCCTTCCCAAAACCTTACCTGCCACTTATGTGAGATCCTTACTGTCGCTGGGATGAGGTTAAACTACCTGAAAAAAATGTCCAGTGTACTGTAAAGTTTACTGCAAAGTGATTGATTCTCGGTCATTTTGGGTTTCTTGTATTACTTTATTTTGGCCTTACTTTAGACTCTGCTCCACAGCTAGAGCTAAACTAATCCCTTTCCATTTTGACTGCTGTTCAAGTTATAAACCAGTTACCTAGAATGTCTGCTTTTCTCTAGTGGGACACTGTCCTGCCTAATGAGCAGTAAGACTTAATACTAGAAACGTAAAATTTCAGAATGTCATGTGTAATAATAGATATGCTCTCAACCAAGGGATCAGCATCAATTGTTCCAGATTTTACAAAGACGCTTTCTTCTAAAGAGCTATTCACATGTTTCCTTCTCATAATTTGGTTTTTTTTTAGTAGACTTTGGAAATGCATATAAATATACATTGTTTTAAAAATACACCGATTCTATTCTAAGATTTCTGTATTACAAATCTTTATGCATTTCTTTTCCACTTTACTATAATTGTTCTTTTTAGCAGGAAATTTTTAAGCTTAAATATGAGTGAAAATAAGTTTTCCTTAGTCCCCTTGGACCACTTCTTTCTGCTTCCTATTTTCTTTTTTTAAAATATAGTCTCTCTGACCATTCTGTAACAGTGACAGTCAAATCAGTGTATTTATTGAGCTCCTCTGCTGTATGTAACTAACTCTTCTAGTCCCTATCATTTCTGAACAATCAACTATTACAACTACCCCACAATTCCTTAATTTTCAGTGCATTAATAACACATTCCCTCCTTTGCTGTTATGACTTTTAAAAAATTTGCCCACCCTTTCCTTATGTTTCACCCCTTTGATTTTTGGTATTCATTTGTCTTCTGCAAGTTTCTGAAACTTCCCACTTTTTTTCTTGTACCTTCCTTTTCACAGATCTCCTGAAACTTTACATTTCCCTTATCTAATAGCTTGACCTTGTGTAAACCACATTATTTCATTATTGCATTAACCAGAAATTTCACATTCTTAGGATTTCTTAGCCTTTCATTTCTTTTCCAACTTCCTGTAAAATTTCCTTCTTTACTGCCTCCTTTCACTCCTCTTTGCAGATTTGCCTTGTTGAAATTGTATCAAAAAATATCAAATTTGGAGGGAAAAACCCTCATATTTCCTTCCCATTCTTTTCTCTAGGAAACAAATATAGCAGTTGCTTTTAATCCCATTCATCTAACTCTCTTAAGTCACAGTGGTCTCAACAGGTAACATCCCGTCAGTATTTGGTAGCCAGCCTTGGGACTGACTTTCAAACAAACATTTTGTCCCAGCTTTCTTTTCATTTGATTCTTCTGCTTTCCTCCTTCTGTCTCTCCATTCATCTGGGTTAGCGGAACCAGAAAACCTCGGATTCAGTTCCATGCCTGGCACAGTATTTGTTATACAGTAGGTGCTTAATAAGTGCTTGTTGATTGGTTAGCAGTTGAGGGCAGATCATTGGACCACTTTTTTGTGCCTTATTTACTCATCTAAAATGAGGCTGTTAATATTTGAATGGGATGAAAAGCCATGAATGGCTTAGGATCTGTTTACACAGAGAGCCAGCAGCTTTATGGATTAAATATATGTTAATGCACTTTGCAAAACCTTAAAAGTGCTCTTACAAATGTTAGCTATTACCATCATTGTAGAGAGGTTGAGTTTCTTGTTCAGGGTTAAATGGTCACTTTTGGAATCAGGACTGACTTTCACATGCCTGGTCCTCGGCCTTTCTATGGGATTATGGAACTTGAATAAACAATAGTAAGAGGCTTCCAATTAATTCTCTTCTGTGTATGCCACATATGTGCATTTTGATATTTTGGGCCCTTCCTGGAAAGCTTCTGTGCTGAGTGTGCCTGTGTTCATTTGGGAGGATGGTTGGGGTTTAGCGCTGCCAGAATTGCCACTGATTGGGCCATGATAAGGTCGGGCTGGCAGGGGAGAAATACTCTAACCTGAAGGTATTCTCTGCAGAAACAGTGTCCTCTTGCTTGATGTCTGCAATAGCCCTGGGTCCCACAGTTCCCCTAATCTGGGTCACCAACATAATTTTGAACTATTTCATCACTTTTACTTGTTTTACCTTCTTCCACTGTAGATCCTTTTTGTAAGCTCTCCTTGGAGAGGAGAGCCTTCTCTCCTAAAAAGAATGGCTACTCCTTAGGGTACAAGGCCCAGTGGCTGGGCCAGGATCCTCCCATGTCGCACCACACTCTTAGCTCTGCCTCCTCTGGAGGAGGCATTGCAAGTTAGCCCCTGCATGCCAGCCACTGCTTCCCCACAAGTGTCGAGGGGCACTCTCTGCCCCATTGGTCTTTTTCCTTTGTCTCACCATGTGATTGTAACAAGGAGTGGCTGTTCTGCTTCTGCTCACCCCTTCTTGCATCTTAACTACCTCCGTCTCCAGTTTTTTATTTTTTTGTTTTGTTTTTTTGCATGGGTAGAAACCACCTTCATTTGAGCATGTGCTTTAATGTCACTGAGTTTACTTCACTAAATTCACTTATCCCAGTTTAAGGCTAATTAGGTGAAATTAGAGTTTCATTTGGAAATTAATTGTATAGATGAGAAGAAGTGGGGGAGATAGAATGCTGGATTCATAGATGTAGAGCTGGAAAGGATATTAGGGTCATTTGGTCTAACCCCACTTCGTCTTATGCTAAGGCCCTGAGAGGTTCAGTGCACACAGTTAGTAGGTGGCAAGGACAGTCAGTTCACTGCCATTCTGGCAAAATGGAATCTTCTGAACTCGTCCTACTCCGGTATCCAGGAGGAAACACCAGCACGTGGTCCTGTGGTTTTATCACTTCTCCCCTCTTTTTCCCTTGTGTCTGACAGTCAGAATAAAACAGTAGCCAGATGGTTAAAGCTCTTTAATGCTAAATTACTTAACTGTTTGGGGAAGCCTGCTTTTTCTCCTAATCAAGTCTCTTTTCATGTATTACTCTAAGATGGGATTGCCTCTGGGTTAGAATGCAGCTGTTCCAACAGTTCTACCAAATTATAGCTCTTTCTTTTCTAAAGTACAGAGAGATTAATCTGAAGGGAGACTCTGAGAAGTTAATGCAGAGTCTTCCACATTGTCATTTGTTCAGGAAACTAGTCTGATATTCCATTCAGAACAAAACAATCACATTTTAATATGTTAAGTCAACAAGAGCTTTAAAATAGCACAGACACAAAATCTCTGTAGTGCTGCTAAGGCATTATGTGAGTACTAAATATGAATGAAAAGACTGCAATACTGCAGGTACGCTGTTGGAATGGTTCAGATGCAGTTGTTCAGTGACCCTGACCGGAGCCTGGCTCCAGGGACCACAAACAGAGGAGTCAGGAGTCATCTAATCTCTGGCTCTCCCTCTTTTTTAAAAGCAGCTTTTCACCAGACTTGGCCCTGGACTCTCCAGGCACTGATCACTTTGTTATCATTGCCCAGCTGAAGGAAGAGGTGGCCACGCTTAAGAAGATGCTTCATCAGAAGGATCAGATGATCCTAGAAAAAGAGAAGAAGGTAGAACGTTTGGTTCAGACATTGCTACGTGTCTGTGTGTGTCTGCATGTGCGTACATATGATATGTACATATGATATAGTACGTCTTTGAGGATGGGAAGGTTGCTCTCTAGACAGGTATCTTGTGAAAAGTGTCTAGTTTTTTTTTGCACTCTTTTGCTTTATCATGTCTCTCATGGTTTGCTCTTGTGTGATATTTGGAATCGGCTTCTTTTTTTAAAATAGTATTTTTTTCAGTTACATGTATAGATAATTGTTAGCATTCATTTTTACCAAATATTGAGTTCCAAATTTTTCTCCTTCTCTCCCTCCCTTTCCCCTCTTCCTAAAACCATAAGCAATTTGATATAGGTTATATATGTATAATCCAGATTAGTCTTAGTTGTGAAAGAAGAAACAGAACAAAAGGAAAAAAACCACGAAAAAAATGAAGTGAAAATCGCATTCAGAGTCCATCTATTTTTTTATCTGGAGGTGGATGGCATTTTCCATCATGAGTCCTTCGTGATTGTCTTGGATGATTGTATTGCTGAGAAGAGTGAAGTCATTGGTCATCACACAGTGTTGCTGTTACTGTGAATAGTGTTGTGGATCTGCTCATTTCACTTTGCATCACTTCATATATGTCTTGGAATCAGCTTCTTAATTTGGAAGGTTAATAGTAGAGAGTGGTCCTCACTTCATAAAATTCTTCTTTATGCCTGTATATTCACTGCTATTTTAAACCAAAGTATGTATTTTTTGCTGGGAAGAGAAAGTGGGTGGTTCAACTGTGTTGTCTTTATTAGCTAGAAATTGAACTTGCTGGGGCTGTTGGTTACTAGCTTGTTAATAACATTAGCCTTTCATAGGCCCAGCACTGTTTCTAGCATCTCATTTAGAATAGAAGCTAGGAATGAAATTTAAAATGATTCATAAATCAGAGAAACAGGCAAAAAGTTGAAAATCAGCAGGGACAAATATAAGTTAATGTATTTAAAGAGCAAAAGAATACGGTTGAAATAGAAAAGAGGAAATGTCCGAGCCCCGAAGAAAAATATGTAGGAGTCCTAGGAGCAATGATTTAAGAACTAAAAGGGTGATAGAAGATTTTATTCTAAGAGGGCTTTTAAATGCAACCAGTAGCAAAGTACTCTTCCTCTATTATCGGAATTACGCCCTCCGTCTTGTTTGAGTACCATTCATTGGGAGGGATTTGGAGCAACTGAAGAGGTTCAATAGAATAGTTCTGAAATGCAGTGTAGGAAAATTACTTCCATGAGGAAAGGATGGAGTTGGTCTAAAAAAACCTAAAGAATTAGATTTTGTATACTAACTATATGGAACAGAAATTTTCTGATGGTTGTTATGTTAGTAACATATTACTTAGGGAGCTGATGTCATCTCCTAGAGATCTTTAAGAAAAGGAAAATCAATTGTTGATAATTCAAAATAAATTAAAATTTTTTAGAAAAAGGAAAATCAATTCATAGGTTTTTAGGTGATTTAGATATAGACCTTGAGGTGGAGGGATCATTTTGAGAGGTCATTTAAGTCCTTAGTGCAAAGGAATTCCCTTTGATAGCTCTGTCTCCCTTCAGATTACTGAATTGAAAGCTGATCTGCAGTACCAGGAGTCTCAGATGAGAGCCAAGATGAATCAGATGGAGAAGACCCACAAAGAAGTAACGGAGCAGTTACAGGTGATGCGCTTTCTTTTAATGTAGTGAAATATGAAAACAGAGCTGGCAATATTTTAAAGGATTGAGTGCTTAGAAAACTGTTTTCTCATAGTTTTGATAAATCATCTATAAATCTATAAGTATCTCTTACTCTTAGACCTTTTCAGATTTAATTCATTCAAAAAATATTCATAACTTTATATCTTCTTTGACCACATGTAAGCTAAATATAATTTCAGATAATCAGGATTATCAAGTATTTACCACACAACAATCTCTGTGGTTTGTGAATGTATAATTCCTTGTGCAGCAAGATGATGGTGTTCTTATGATCATGAGGCTTGTTTAAGGGTGATTCCTTTCCCTTCAGGGGCCACACATGCTTGTTGGTAGCTTTTTGCCTCCTTTGCTTTCTCTGTCCTTCCTCCCTGCTTCTTACTCTTCCCACATGTGTCTCTGCCATTGCAGCAATTCCTATCCTGTGTAGGTTACATGTCTCCACCTGTTAAAAGCTCATCCTTGCATTGTATTTCCAGGCCAAAAACCGAGAGCTTTTGAAGCAAGCAGCAGCTTTGTCAAAGGGCAAAAAGTCTGAGAAGTCGGGAGCAATGACTTCTCCATGAAAAATGGCCTGGGAACTTTTTGAACAGCAGCAACATGGAGTCTTGGGCTGGCCTGGAGCCATGGCTGTGCTGGGAGCTGCAAGCTTCCCTGGGAATCTCCTTTTTGTGACACTCATCCCTCTTTATACTCTGGCTATGGGCAGGGTGGAAATACCTGGTGTGTTGCATTAGGATCGCATGCTGGTGGGTGTCATGGTTAAGTGGATATCTCTAATTTTTTGTACTGCTTTTTGTTTTGTTTTGTTTTATAGTGGTAACTGCTCATTGTTTTGTGCAGAAGGAATTATTTTCCCCACCCCTGCATCCTTCAGTTCCCATGAGCAAATAGTTTGGCTTTGGATAAATATTATCACTGCCACCTTTCGAACTCAGAAGCTGCCACCCTAACAGGACTTAACACAATGGAGGTTTCCACTCTCCATTAAAATTGCTGCTTCAGGGGATACTTTTTTTTCCCAGGTATTCTATGAACTTTGTACTATATATAGACAGAGGTTTATTTATTTAAAAAACAAAAAACGAAACCCTTTTTCTTGAGAAAGGGAAATACTCAGACCAGCTAGTTCTCTTTGTGACAAAGCTGTGATAACTATTGGAAAAACCACCCCAATCTCCATTTAGGCTACAGAAAAGGATGCCAATTTCATCTGGTTTAATACCTAGTTGTTATATAATGTTGATGGTTAAGGTGAATGAAACAGTCAGATTGAGAAGTGTGGCATTAGGTGCTTTTTTTTTGTTTAGGACCCCTTGAGAAAAGGGCATCTAAGGAGACATTTTGGGAGGGAACAGGGATTTAAAAAGTCTGTCTTATTAGATAATGGCAGAAAGTTTTGTCCAGGTTGTACTGGACATCCTCACTTTCCTAATCATTTTATGTAATTAATTTTGAACTCTTTCACACTGCCACTTACTTGCTTTTTAAATCCCTTTCTTTTGCAACACCAGTTGTCAGATCATGTCATTGCCAAGGAACATTCTGAATTGGAAAAGCTGCAAATAATGCATGTCTTCAAATGAGACAAGCATCTCAGGATGGGCTGTTTGAGTCATAAGGAAGCACTGAGAGAGAGAGAGTGTGTGTGTGTGTGTGTGTGTGCGTGTGTGAGAGAGTGTGACAGAGAGAGAGACACCATCCTCAAGTATTGATGGAAATAAAATGGAAGGATGTGTGTCTTAGATATAGTCCATCCTTGGTGTGTTGTCCAGGATAACTCAGTGGCTTATCTTCAGTAGGTCATGCACTTTGGGTTATGTTGTTCCATAGTGGGGATGGATTTGCAGTTCCATTTGCATACGGGTAATAAGGCCTACCTTTGTTACCTTTGAAAGAAAGCTGCCTGGGATTAGGGTTTTCAGTGTGGGCCATGAAACATGGTAAGTAACTGTAGGTTACCCATTGCCTTGACCTCATCAATCCATCAGGGTACAATCAATAGAATCAGATGCCAGGCTGGAATTTGAAGTAACAACAATGGAGGGAGGGGTAGGTGTGTGGGGGGATGTGTGTGTGTATACACTCACAAGAAATGAATGATTCTAGATATGAGTTCAGCCTCCTTGCATTTCTTAGAAACAGAGTATTACAGTTAAGAATAGGGCATACTGGTGGCTTAATATTATAGCTATTTCCAGGTCTGTTGACATCTCAGAAATCTCACAGATAGATTAACGAAATTGGAAAAAAACAGGTCTGGAAGTGGATCTCTTTGCCTTATGTCGGAAGAGTATAAATAAACTATGTATGTTGTCCATGCATTGCTGTCATTTGAAATGCTAAATTCCCTTCCAAACAAGGGAGACCAGCAGTACCAGTTAGTTTTGTATGCTTTTGAATCAGAACCTTTGAATAAAGAAGGTCAGACAATACTTTTCAGGTATATTTGCTCTGAGTTTAAAGAAAAGGTTGAAAAAATGTGATACTGTTTTTAAACCTTAGAAATTGAGAAATTGTTACATCAAGTGTGATACTATAAAATTACGGGCTTAGTTTTGTACTAAATCTTTTTTAAAAGGTTTGACATTTAATATGAAGCAAATTCACACATTTTCTAACTTTCCTTAGATTTCAAAAGGGAGGGAGGGGGCCCCTGGATTTTTGGTTTTTAAAATCATGATGCTGTTTTATCATGAAATTGAATAGGTGACTTTTAGTAACACCATTGTTTCTTTGTATGTTTGTAATAATGGAAATTTCAAAATGCAGGAATGTTTTGGTTTGTACAGACTTTGACAGATGTAAGAGTGTAAAAATTCATATTGACTGAAATACAGTTTTTTTTTTCTATTCATTTCTTCTTTGGTCATCATATGAATATATAGTCCCAAGGAAAAGGGACTTTCCTTAAAAGGTTATTTAGTTTATTCCTCCCCTGCATTCATCCATCCAGAACTGTCTGCAACCATCTGTTTTTTAAACAGATGTTTTATAAAATACCCACCATGTATACAAAGCACCGTGCTGGGGATATAAAGATGACGGTGCCCGATCTATAGTCTACTGGCAGGATTAAAACACACTAATAAGTACAAGGTAAAGTAGAGTATGATAATGATGGAATGATAATATTCAGATGAACAGAGCCAGGAATGGAAGGGTATTGATAAATAAAAGTGAAGGGAGTGAGTACTGGGCATGGGGAAACAGTCCTAGTAGTAGTAGCTAGAAGCTAGCATTTATGTATTGCTTTAAGGTTTGCACAACAACCTTGGAAGATAAGTGCTGTTATTATCCCCATTTTACAGGTGAGGAAACTGAAGCAAAGCTTAAGTGACTTGCCCAGGGTCACATAGCTAGTCAGCATCTGAGGCTGGATTTGAATTCATCTTCCAAATTCTAAATCTAGTATTCTATCCACTGTGCCACCAAGGGAAGTAGCAGGTCAGGTCTGAATAAGAATGGGTAGGCCAGTTTGGCTGGAAAATAGCATGAAGTGGAGGTAATAATATTAAAAGAGCGGAAGGGGGGCAGGTAGGTGGCGCAGTGGATAGAGCACTGACATTGGAGTCAGGAAGACCTGACTTCAGATCCAGCCTCAGACACATAACACTCACTAGCTGTGTGACGCAGGGCAAGTCACTTAACCCCAACTGCCTCATTAAAAAAAAAAGAGTAGAAGGGTAAGTTTTGGAGCTGTTTTATGTGTGGCCTTATGTATGAGGAGGCTGGTCTACTTCTAGTGATAAATCTATGATCCTATAATGAATCCAGTACTTTATTTTAATGGGGAACTACTGAAGGTTTTTCAGCAAGGAATGAACATGTGATCAGACCTCGACCTTAAGAAGAGGGTTTAAAGCAACTGTGTGAAGGATAGATTAGGAGGGAAAGGTCAGAGGTAGGGAGAACAAAGGTGAGTGAGGAGAAGATTGAAGAAAAATGGAGTTTAAATCAGTAGGACTTCACAGACTCTGAGTTGGAAGGGTTGTCAGAGTCTACCCAGGCCCATCTTGTAATGTAGAGGTAGGGAGAGGGGTGAGGAAGAAGGAATGGTAAGAAAACATTTAGCTTTTGAGCCCAAGTGGCTGGAGCACTGGAGTAGTAATCATAAGAAATAAGGATCGTGGGAGGAGAGACAGGTTTAGGAGGGGAGGTAATGGAATTCAGTTTGGACATGTCTCTGAGTAATTGACTGGATGTCCCCCAGACAGCTGGAGATGCAGGTTTCATCCTTGATAGCAGTCTAGTTTTGGGAATCATTTGCATAGAGGTGATAACTCAACCTGCTGGAATAGATGAAATCATAAAGGGGATTATAAAAAGAGAAGAAAAGAGGAATAGGGCTGAGCTTTGGGGGTATTCACACTTAAGGAGCAGAAGAAAGGCAGTGAACAACCCACAAGCATTTATTAAAGACCTACTAAAGGATCCGATGCTGTACTGGGTGCTGGGGATACCCAGAAAATAAACAAAACAGTCCCTATTCTCGAGGAGTCTGCATTCTAGTTGGGGAGACAAATACAAGAGGAACTAGTCAGATGAAGAACTAGGAAAGAGAGCAGTATTATGGAAGCCACGAGAGGGGAGAGTATTCAGGAAGAAGTGGGGATAGGAGTGTTGACTGCAGAGAGAGTTAGGGTGAGAACCAAGAAAAGTCCATTGAATTTAGCAGTCAGACATTTATTAAGCACCTACTAGGTACCCGGCACTTTGTGCTAAACACTGGGGATTCAGCAAGAGGCAAAAGATAGTCCCTGCCCTCAAGGAGCTCACAGTCTAGTGGGGGATACAACAGACACAAATAGGTACAAACAAGTTATATCCAAGATTAATTGGGAATAATTAAAAGAGGGAAATCATCCATCTAGAACCCTTTAGATTTTAGAGGGGTTGGGAAAGGCTTCCTGTAGAAGATGGGATTTTAGTTGGGACTTAAAGGAAGCTAGGGGACTTCTGAGTCATGTGAGCAATAAAATGGTGGACTAGATATTTTCTCTGATTCCCATGACCTCTTAAATCTCTCCAAAACAAATTATGCACCCCAGATAAATGAAATTCAGCTGTTGCCATAGTCTAGGACCCCCATATTCCCAAAGAAGGCAAAAAATAAGAAAACTTGAAACGCAGGAACTAAGGCTCACTGACCTTGAGCTCACTTAGCACCCTCCCCCACCCTCTGTGCTTCCAGCAGTGAGGCTGCACTGGCACACCCAAGGACATGGCACAGGCTTGCATCAAAACTCACTGATACACCATGTCCCGTGCTCCCTCTTACCAGTGCTATAAGAAGTTTGCTCAGGCCTCAAGAGCCAACTTGACCACAGCCCTTCAGGAGCAAAAGCCTGCTAGGGACTGTAACCCAGAAGCACCAGTGCTGCAAAGCTCTGAACTACCAGTGTTGGGAAAAACAGGTTCTGAACTGCAGGTATTGGGCCAGAAAACTGCAGAATGGAGGAGATGAGACAGGTCACCAGGACAGGACATTGTGTGTGTGTGTGTGTGTGTGTGTGTGTGTGTGTGTGTGTGTGTGAAGCATTCCACCAAACCTGAAGGAAATAGCACAGCATCCAGCTGGGGCCAGTTCTGACCATGCAAAAGTCAGGGCAGAGGCTGGGGAACCATGAATTGTCTAGTGTGGGAGGGGGCTGACATACTTTGAGATTCAGCCCCCAGATAAACCACCATCATAGGAGAGGCAGTCAGGAAGTGAGTGATCAGGAGGATAAGGAGATGGAGAGAGACTGAAAGTACCAAAGATTTCAAAAAGAAGAGATCTCAAAGACCTTGAACATAAACAGATAAATCAACAGGAAAAACTAATGACAGAAGGTAATATGACCTCCAGATCTAGTAGAGTTCAGGCATCTATGAATAAGTACTGCAAAATGAAATCAAATGACCCAACCCTTGATGAGACAGAAGACCTTGTAGAGTCTGAGGAGAACACGGAAGCACAACACACTGTTCCTAAGTGGTTTCAAAGAGAAATGAGAACTTTGAGAGCGACATTCTTGTCCTGCACAACAAAAATAATGAACAGAATAGAAAAATTTGAACTAAAAATGGCGACCTGCACCAAAGAAACAAAAGGGAATAATAGGTTGGGTGCAAATACAAAAAGTGGAGGACAACACATAAGAAGAGAGGCAGAAAATAACATTAAAAGAAAATATGTTCACTATGCAAGCAAAAACTGATCTCGAAGACAGGATTCGTCAAGGGTCATGTCTTCCAGAAGAATACGACAAGACAAAAATCCTTAATATCATAATGAAGAAAATAATAGGGGATAATTGTCAAGAACTTCTGAACATAGAAAATGGAATTCCAGTTGAAAGAACTGACATATTGTCTCCAAAAATACCCCCTAAAAACTATGCCCAAGGGACTATAAAACTGTACGTGCCTTTTGGTCCAGCAATATTACTATTAGGTCTGTATTCCAAAGAGATCCTAAAACAGGGAAAAGAACCTACACATTTATTTATAGCAGCTCTTTTTTGTGGTGGCAAAGAATTGGACAAGGGTAGGGAGCCTGTGGCCTTGAGGCCACATGTGGCCCTCTAGGTCCTCAAGTGGGCCATTGGACTCAATCTAAACTTCACAGAACAAATCCCCTTAATAAAAATATTTGTTCTGTAAAACTTGGACTCGGTCAAGACAAAGCTGCCCCTGAGCACCTAGAAGGCCACATGTGGCCTCGAGGCCACAGGTTCCCCACCCCTGCTTTAGTGTTTTGCTGAAGTGCTATATGCTAGCTATTAAAGTGAAGTGAGTGGAACCAGGAAAACATCATACACCGTAACATAACATAACATAGTATTGTAACAGGGATCAACCCTGAAAGACTTAGCTACTCTAATCAATAGTGATCCAAGAGCATTCCAAAGAATTCACAATGAAAGATGCTGTCTACCTTTAGAGAGAGAAGTGATGAACGGAGTGCAGATCAATGCATATTTTTTTTCACTTAGTTTTTCTTCTTGTTTTTTTGCAACATGGCAATATGGAAATATGTTTTGCAAGACTTCATGTGTACAACTGATGTCATATTACTTGCTTTCTCAATGGGTGGGAGAGGGCTGGAAGGAGGGAATTTGGAACTCAAAATTTGAGAAAACAGACGTTAAAATAAATAAAATATAAAAATGCTAGCTATTGCATTAATACCAGAGTATAATGGGCATTGTGACTTTGGTCTTCTAGTGTGAATCAGCATCCCCCAAACCACCCTATGTAAACTCATTTGCATAGTAGGGAATGTATTTTAAGGCAGGGAGATCTGCAATATTCATGTTTTAACCTGTTCTAATATTGGGCTCTTTCAAAAGGCATACTTGGTTCCATCAACATGGCAGAATTGAATTAGGTGACCTGGATTTTAGTCCTATCTTTGGTACTTTGTGACCTTGGGCAAGTCATTTCTACTCCTATAAGCTAAATATATTCTTTTTTATTTTCTAACTTTTTAGGCATTTGGGGTTAAGTGACTTGCCCAGGGTCACACACCTAGCAAGTGTCAAGTGTTTGGTCTGAGAGTGAATTTGAACTCAGGTCCTCCTGACTTCAGGCCAATGCTCTATCCACTGCACTACCTAGCAGCCCCATTATATTCTTTTAAAATAGAAAAAAAAATACTCCAAAATTTTTAATAAAATTGCTGGGATTAGATGATCTCTAAGTTTCCAGTTTTGAAATACAAATTTACTAGTGTGTCTGAGGCATCTGGAACAGGGCAAAAAATGGGAAGCAAACTTTCCTGACAGGATCAAAGGTTTGTAATTCTGTATATCGAATACAAATTTGGAACTGAAGGGATTTTAAAGGTCACCAAATCCAACCTCTTCATTT